AACCTGAGAATACCGACAAAAGCGAAACTGTACCAAACGGGTTTTCATGGCATAACCCGCATGTCTAGGAGCAGTCAAAGAAAGCTACGATTTCAAGATAGTTCGGCACCTGAGTGCTAGACGCATCCTGCCCGAACGACTGTACGTTTATTTAGACGTCCCATCAAAAGGATTTACACGTTCAGAAAAAATAAATTTTAATTAATATTACATATATGAAGTACTTCATTGGATTTTATGCATAAAATTCATATTTCTGTTTTCTGAAAGCATGTAAGGAGCATCATGTACTGAAACGATAGTCAGAGAATTGTGGCTCCAAGCAATCATCATCAGTATTTGATGAAGGCTACGTCCAGCCATAAGACCTTATGCAAATAAGACCTTCTCTCTCTTTCAGAAACCACTGTAACGTCTCTCCGATTCAACGATGATTAATTCTTCTTGTAACATGTCCTCACGATCTCATTTCAACTTCTTCGCTCATGCAATGACATCACAAACTCGTGTGTGTTCTGATCAACTCATTCGTCTTCCAATCTTATTATTCCTAACATAAGTCTTGCCACGTTGCGTTCCGTAATGTGTAGGTTATGATCAGCTTCCAACCTTATGGTCCACTTTACGCACTCATACGTTAGCGCTTGGAGCACTCACTAACCAAAGTCTCTCCGTTTCAAGCGCAGGACCAATTTACCAGAAAGAAGCATCTTCAGACTTGCAAAAGTACACCCTGCCATTTTTGCTCTTGTGTTGTTTACGCATAGTCGGTTCTCCATTGTAGTAAGGAGCTGTCCCAAAGAAACGCGGTTCTGAACTTCTTCAAACTTACGCCCTTTGACTTCAACAGATCGCGCAGTCTTGTGTTTGTTGCACATGTGCTAAGCCTTTTCCAGGTTCGTTTTCAGTGCGATGTTGATGCTGTTGTCGTCGTAGTAGTTCTAGATCACCGTAGTTCTTCCGTTGATCTGCAAAGAACAGAATATCCTTCGGAAATCACAGGTGGCTGAAGCAGTGTCCATTCATCTTCAATGTCTGATTTTTAATAGTGTCTTGAAAACCATTTCAGCGGCTGCTGAGAATAACTACGGTGATACGGCATCGTGTCGAACAAACATTTTCGATTCTGAAGTTGTATGTGCTTTCATACAGTTTAGCTCTAGCAGCTGCATTCTTGTAAATGATGGTGATAATGTGTCTGCGTATTTTCGTGATTTTGCGACTACTGAAGGAATCCAGTATAGAACAGATGTAGACGGAGTCGACAGCATTCTCCAAACTGACGAACTGCAGAAACTTAGGAAATTAATATTCAGTGATTGTCTGAATTGCTTCTTCTACCACTTGCAGGTGATCCATCTAACTGAACTACTGAACCCTGCTTGCTGATTTAGCTTTTCAGCGTCTAGTTTCTTTAAAGAACGCGCCTCAGTATTTTCTTGAAAACGTTGCACATGATTGGAAACAAACTAATTCGTCTTTAGTTGTTCAAATTCTCTTTCCTCTCCTCAGTCAAGAGAAACAGTGCAGAAGTCAGACTGCGAATCAATTAATCAAAGACGAAGACGTTGTCATCGAATACCCAGCCGAAGGCTAAAATAATATTAAACGGTGAAAAAATCGATTAGTCGATAAACACGTTTACCTAAGTCAAGAGACTAACATGTGGTGTGATCAGGCCGAACAGATTCGACAAAGAAAAAGGGCCGGTTGGAGCGCATTCAGTTCTAACAAGGACGTTCTCCTCATCAATATTGGAACAGAAACCCGCGCTGAACTCTTCACTTCTACTGTCG